ATATAAACATTTGTGCATCACTACTATAATTCAATAACCCGTTGGATATCAATGAAGTTCTGGTGAATTCTATCGTCTGAAAGATTACACGTGATGAGAAATAGATCAAGTTAGTTACCAGTCCGCCGCGTAATCTACTAACATTTGCATATTTTGTTAATTCAGCATCTTCATACTTGAACACAGCTTTTCGATATTTAGGTATATATATATATATATATATATATATATATATATATTTATTTATATATATAAATATACAGGTCTTAAATTAATTAAAACCTGTTAAAGCAACTAATAAATTGAGAATGAAGCAAACAGGAGTGTTTAAACTTTAAAAGAACTATAAAAATCTACTAGACAGTAAATTTGATTAAAGTTTCACGCTGTAATGCTCAATGATTCCGTACACGGATTCAATCAGCAGGTTGTTTATTTGCAGATCGTAAAATATGTTACGTTGAACGAAATCTATTTCGTGTACGGCGAGAATCAATAATTACAACGGCGGCGGCCGTGAGTAAAACGGCACATGTGCAAATTTTATAACCAGCACATTTTATGATATCGTCAAAAATATATAAATTAAACTGTGTCCAAATACACAGCTGCAGAAAAATATTTCCATTTTTATATAAAAAAAAAATTAATGAATTGATGCATTCTTATTTAAAAAAACATGATAAATTCAATGCCAAAAAAATAAAGCTCATAAACTGCTAAATAATAAGCATTTGAAGTCAATTTAATTATATGTATTAATAATACAAATTTAAAAAATATACTATTAAATACAAATTGTATATCATTTTTTTATTTGAAGTATGGGACAATTCTGTGAGACTAGGGCAGCAAAATGCTTATTCAAAAGAATTATCGCCGTGAAGTATAAGTTCTATAATCTTTTCTCGAAATAATGTATCCTTTCATTTATCATAATCCTTTGGAGTTCTACACCTAATACACAGTATTTTGCCGGTGAATGAGCAATTTTATTAAAATATCTCAATTTACTTGATTAGACTGTCCTGATCTTTCAATCCGTACCCGGAATATATTGTCCCTAACCTAGTTTCGAACTTTGCCAATAAGAGATAAGATGAATTATTTATGCAGGACCAAATACATTATTATAATTTTTAGGTCGGAAATCAATAGAAATTGTTATTTTATATAAATAACAACAATCAAAAATAATTTAATAATAATAATTCATAGTAGTTGAAACTTGTAAATGAATTCTCATTTTCATTAATAAAAATTCCATAATTATAAAATAAGAAAACAGTCAATTTAATAATTCCCAAAGACAAACTTTTTTATAATTATTATATATTTCATTTAATTTTGGTTATATTTTTATATTTATATATTGCATTTTAATTTGTTTTTCGAATGATTGAATATCTATCAGAACTTAAAGGTTCTATGGACCGTTGGGATGATTTTCTTAACTGAGTACTTTAAAAGGTTATTATTACAATTTCTGTAATAGTGATAAATTTTGTATTGATGCAACGCTGCCCCGAAAAGCTACCTTCACTTGGAAATATTGATATCTACATTTTCAAGTGCAATCCGACGGCACTACTGCTTGATATCAGGCTGTTTAAGAATAGATTTTGACATAAATAAAAGAGTACTAAAATAAATAAACCAAAACAGTTATCAAATTTAATATAAAAAAATGAGCAAATTACACATCAACACGAATTCTTTATTAATATATCTATGATATAAAAATGAATCGCAAAATGTGTTGGTAAGCGCATAACTCAACAACGCCTGGACCAATTTGGCCAATTCTTTTTTTAAAATGTTTGTTGAAGTCCAAGAGTGGTTCTTACGGCGAGAAAAAATCGAATAATTGCCAAGAAAACCCTAAAAACGGCCCTTTTCCTTTCACATACAAAAGTTAGTATTTTCATATTTTCGCTATCGGATACGGAATATTTACTCAAGTCAATGGAGCGTTATGGGTCTGAATCTTACATACTGTGCTCTAATTCGTATGAAATTTTGAAATTAGGTTTCTCTCAAGTTCGAAAGTGAAAATAATTTAGACTCCATTTCCCGGGAGGATGATATACCTCTCAGTAGTGTAATTTCATTTTTTTTCAAAATGTCGGATATCGTAAAAGAACTAATTATAAAAAAATGTTTCGATAACATAACAAAAACATAATAATTTTTAACTAATTGGTAAATATCAGTATAGGTTATTAAATAAAATTAAACTTTTGAATGTAAATATAAGTACAGGACAACGTCTGTCTGTCTGTAGTTATAAATATAAATTTACATAAAGATGCACAGGATATCATCGTCGTCTAGCAACATAATTACTCCATCAATTGTATTATGATAAATAATATGCTGCATTATGATGTTGCTAAAATGTTGGTACATTAATGTAAATTTAAAATAAATTAATAATCAGTTCCATAATATATTTATATCGTATGTATTAACTTACAAAAATTAACGCTATATCTCATACCGAGTTTAAATATATAAAAACGTGACTGTGCCTATTTTGCATAAGTGAAAAGTATAAAAAAGTGCTACGGTCCTGTATTTTATGAGGGCGCATAAAGTGCATATTTAACCAAAAAATCTTATAATATTGTTATCATTCAAATCGTTTGAAGTAGCATTTACATAATATCCGGCGGAATTCCTCCACCGGGGAGTTTACCTTATGGGACGCTCTTTATGCTGGAGCGCATTGGGTTATTTTTATTCCGCGCTGCGTTGCGGTATACGTATGTGTATTTCTCATAAATGGTTGTAGCGTTGAACGTTTTTATGGAATTTTCTCTTGAAACGGTTATTTTATAGATTTCTTTTTGTACTGGCGAAGTTTTCGGTGCTGTATATGATGCATCCGACGAGAGATATGAAAATAATGAGCGTAGGGAGATAAATACTTATGTGTTGTTAGGACGATATAACTTTATGAGAAAATTGATTTAAACGCCCCAAAAAGTGCGTAATATGTCGTTTTGCTTAGAAGATTTTTGATGATGAAATATAATACCACCATATACCCGTTTTGAGTAAATTTATAATATAATCTATATTTTTAATTTATTTTTCAAGTAAGGAATTATTAATATACGTGTTAATATAGCGATAATATATATAATCATATATAAGGTAGTGCGGGGCACAAAGATCTAATGTGGCTTTTGCTGCGAAAACCAAACCAACTTCTCAACAATTGATACATAATAAACAAGCAACTAGCGAACAATGTTAGTAAAATTCTCAGTTAATTCCTCGCTGTAACTAGTTGTAAATGGCATTTTGAACTATATTAAAAAACGATACCTTTTATAAAAGAGCGGCCGATTAATTCAAATTTTAATTAATTATTATAATCTAAAAACTTTTCGTTTTTCTCAATTTTTGCTGCTAATTTTAAAATAACGGCTCAGTCGATCGCATAAAAAAATTTACCAGCGCGAGTGCTTTTGAATTTAAAATCGTTTCAGGTGTTTTTGAGGAAACAAAAATGCGCTGCTCATTTTTTGAAAGATTGTTAAAAAATAATAAAGAAAAACCTTTTTCAGATAAGGGGCCGTTCAAGTATTACTCAAGCACTATAGGGGGCGGGGGGTTATTGATTTGCTTATTTTGCTTATTTTCGGTAAGAAATTTGCTTACTTTTGCTTACAAAGGGAAGGGGGGAGGGGTAAATAATTATAATAAATCTGCTTACGTAATACTTGAACGATTCCTAAAGTGTATTAGGTAAGCATTTCTGTTTAGTGTTTAACAGATAGTTTTAAAAATAAATTTATAAAACGAAAAAGATCCATCCTCGATTCAAATCTTTCGATTCTCTAAATTCTTTTTAGAGCTATGGAATAATTATTGAGAATTTGAATTCGTGTTATCATATGGATGATTTGCAATTCCCATCTAAAAATTGTTCAATTCTTTAAGTTATATGCATTTCAAATTATCGACACCAATATTTTTATACATTGAAAAAACATGTGTTTTTCTGAAAGATTGAAAGATTGTTTTCTATATTCAAATATATAAGCTATAAAATAAAAACTACCTTTAAAATGAATATTTAATTAAAGTTGACCAAATATGACCACAAAACTAGACAGATTTTTATGTTAAACACTCGAAAACCAAAAGTGAGGTTGCTGAAATGCTCAAGCCCTTTATACAAAAAAGCTACCTGCTGAAATAAAATCAAGTACAGCTTCAACTATATTCAAAATTAAATGATTAAATTATAGCGTTTATATGCATTTTTGTAACAATCGTTGTTCGGACGTATTTTTGTTTTATCATATTGGTCATGAAGATGACAATCTTCATGACATTGAGCTTTTACACGGAATAGTTGCTACCCCTGGTAGAGAAGGAGCGGAAGTTTTGATGGAACTAAATGTTCAGTTCTAAAAGTAAAATCCGCGAAACAACATGTAAAGTAAATAATAATAAATATATCTTTTTTCATTATAACTTAGTGACAAATCAGTGATTGTAATATACAAACAAATCAGTTTTTATATAATATAGTGCAACCCAACAACCTGAGTTATCGAAGGATAGTTTTAATAAATTTCATAACTACGTGACAATTGTTAAATAAATTAGATGATCAACCATTGTTATCTACTGGTAAAAAATATTCACTGTGAACTCTTACACTAGACAATTTGTTCGAGTACGAGTAGGAAACAGTATTTGTGAGCATACATTTTGACCAACAAATGAAAAAGAAAAGTAATGGAATAATGTTCGTATATAATTACATGACAAATAAACGTTATACTGTCAATATTTTCCCATAAATTATTACACCAAAAATACCTCATTCATTACGTCGAAACATCAAATATTTTCATATAAGAAATTCTTTGCCCTTAGTTATTTGTATCTACTACACGTATATATTGCTAAACATTCTTTAACTTCCGATGCCTTTCCCAACAAATTACGTAGTAAATGGCGAAGAAGATATAACTCACTTGAATGAAATCGCCCATGGCTCCTCCCAGGGCCGTGAAGTTGAGATGACATATGAACGGCAGTTCGTCATCTTGCGGCCGAGGAACTTCCAGCTCGTATGTGCGACCGGCCACACCATAATACGTCTTATTGCAAGCTGAAAGAGATAGAAAAATGATTGAATTATAATTATTGTATAAAAAAGTATTATATTTTTATACACCTTCATGATATTATTTTCTTTATAGCCCTTAGCGTAAATATTGAAAATAAATACTACTTAGGAATGTAATAAAATTTTATACTTTTTAAATTAATCAATTTTACAGACTAAAAACTTCATCATTCCATAATATTTTTCATTTTATCTTATATTTGAGGATCTATATGTTTTTTTCATAATTATATAAAAATAATTAGCACTTGTTCAAAACAGTTAAAAATACATTTTTTATTTTTTTGTAAAATTGAAAATAAAAGTTCAAAATTACTAATGTGAAAGACTATTTTAACCCGGTATTGTAATATTTTGAATACGTCTGAATTTTATCTTTTATAACGTGTTGTTTCATAAGCATACAAATTGTACATAACATTTTCAGATATTTGATAGGTAGTGGTAATTTTATTATCAAGTAAGAGCAAAAATTTATTTTAAATTTCGGGACAAAAAATTTACATTTGGTACAAATATTGCTTTTAGAAGAACCTGGGATACAAAGATTGGAAATCCGGGACTGTCCAAGCCAAACCAGGGTGTATGGTCACTTTAGGCATATACCTCCGCGGATAAAAAGGACCACCAACTTATCTCAAAACCAAGTGAAATGTAATATTATTTAACGCTAGTATTTGAAAGTAGAGGGCAAAAAACGTGGAACTATCGGCTTAAATTGGGCGCGTTTTGCCAAAGTTTTAACGCATGTATTTTTTTATGTTGTTAGTTTTTTTGGTTTTGAGCACTGTTGTTCAGTTTACTATACCAAATATAATTTTTAAGCCTACGCTATTTAATTGTTTTGTATTGTTAGTTAATTGTATTGTATTTCTATCTTAAATTCAATAGTTTATTACAAAACTTCTATGAAAGCTTACTTGTGATTTGATACTCGTGGGTAAAATAGCTGAACTTTACACTGGCAAAATGTGAGCAGTAAGTAAGCAATAGGATAATTGTAAATAAAAATTATATTAGGTTAAAAAAATTAATAAGGGATAAATTAAGTTAATAGTAATTCCAAGTATGTTCATGAATACCAGTTGAGAGTACCAGACCTAGGGTAATATGAGTGTAATCATTGTAAATAATGTGCTACTAAAATTTGTATTTGGAATTGGTTAAGTTATGTAGCTATTGTTTCGTAAAATCCCTCTGAAATAAAAAAAGCATTGTACTAGTTTGCTCCTGGCTGACCCTTTTACCCAGTCTATGAGACAAAAAGAGATATATGACAAATTCTTAGAAAAATAGCAAAAAAACATATTTTGTGAAATATGTGAATTCAAAATTCTATTAATTCTCTACCATTAATTAATTAAATTCAAACCATTTAAACTAAGGATTGAAATAATTCAGTTAGGAAAATTTGATATTTCTCAGTTTTAAAACTAATCAATTTAAAAATTTTAAGTTATGAAAATTACTCCTATAACAAAAAATTACTATGTTTTACTACTGATATCATAAGATAATTGAGTTACTGAAATCGTCATACAGATTCACTTCAGCTGAATTTAGTGTTAAGTAAAAGTAAATATTTATGATAATACGTAATATTCATAGAAGATAGTGACCTGTTTAACATAAATTCACGTACAAGTAAAATATTTTTTAAAGTGGCGAATGAAAATATCTTTATAAAACATATCATAGTTTCGGATACAAAAATACAACATATACGACGAAGTAGTTGACAGAGCCTTTAAACAATAGCCAGAAACCAAAGGCATTTTGAGCTTTCTAAACAATTGGAATTCTTAAAAATATATCAAATACAAGATGATCTGGAACAATCAATATAATTATTATTTTATAAAAAAATATAAATATAAATAAATCGATGTTTGATTCATTGTAAAAACGATGGCGATTATATTTACGGTTCTCTCATTATTCGAGTTAAATTTTTTTTGGTAAATTATATGAAGTACGGCCTTTGAAAAGGCGCAGTAAATAATTAATCTTCAATAAACCCATAATTATTTATTGAATAGACTAATGATTTTTTTTTTCAATACGTAAGTAACACAATGGTACGCTAAAAATAATTTTAATAATTTTTCATTTAATTAGGAAAAATATGTTTTTCCAAAATAATAAAGAATCTTCTTATTATTGTCGTATTTATAATTTTCTCAAAAATCTCTGACAAAATACTATATGAAATATAATAAATTAATTAAGCTAGAAACAAATATTAATGCAACTTATTCTCTTTGTTAGTTATAGTGTTTAATATAATGTAATTTCAACAGTCATCTTTCTTTTCCTAAACATTTTGCATAAAATTAACAGATTCTCAAACAATTGCACAAAAACTAAACAATTTGCATAAAGTTACAATTCTAACGAATGTAGTAATGTATGAAAAGATAATTCTAGAGCATCTAAACATAATTAATTAAAACAAATGTGTAAAAAAAGCACAAAAGATTCTGTCAATAATGATATATTTAAAATATCTTGAAATTCGCATTTCTATCTGTTACAAAAAACTCAACCCCGCACAATAAAGTAACCTCTACATAAGACTGAACAAATAGTAGCACTCTGACGTTATTCCAGCAAATAGTTATACGGAATGTGCTCAGAAACATGTATTGTTTGACCTGGAGACTGCTTTTATCGTACGGGCATTGATATGGGACGTATGCGACTAATCAATGTCAGAGAGGCGAACTATATCTGCGGACCGAGATCAGTTGTGTTTACAACCGGCGAACTATACTGGAATCGTGTTCTTGGCTGAAATTCATAGTATTGAGATAGACCCTAGTATAATATCATATCAGCGACCAATAAGCGATGTGGATTGTGAATTCTTATCGACAAATTAATCTACGTTTTTTTCTTTTTATTTTCATCTAAACTACAACTGCCTGAGATGGCATTCAGTAATTGTTTGTAATTAGTTATTAAATAAGTTTTTAAAATACTACCCATTGGTAGTATTTCAAGTTAGTATAATAAATATAAATATGTGATAATAATTGCAAGCAAATAATAAATATAAATATGTGGGAATAATTACAAGCACTACACTAAATATATAACTATATTAAGTCTAATGGATCTAATCTTCTTAGTCTCTTGGCAGTGTTCGCAGAAAGTAGGTCCTTTGATAGTTCATTTGGATGGTTCTCCAATCTTGACTTATATATCGCAGCAAATCTACTAATTTCTTCCGCTATTGTTTGTATGTTGCAGTCCTGATGAACAAGTCAATTAGGTACATACCTGTGAGCTATCAGTATTTTGTTGAGGATCTTGTTTTGAGCTCTCTGTAAGATGTTTATATTAGAACGACTGGCACTACCCCAGAGGGAAAGGCCATAAGTCCAGATTGGTTTTAAGGCGACTTGTATGCAAGAAGCTTGTTGTAGATGGATAGTTTGGACTTCGAACTCAACAGCCAGTACAGTACAGTTTTTTGAAATTCTCTTCAAGCTGGAAACGTTTTTACATTATATGATTTTTCCATGTAAGCCTTCTGTCCATGTGAAACCCCAGGTAATTTACATGTTCAACCTGAGGTAGTTGAACCCCATTGATTGAGACGGGCGGACATGTTTCCATTCTTAACGCGTGATTTCCGATTGTTAATTTCAAGTCTCCAAAATTTTGTGCCACATTTCTACTAAATTTAAATGCTGTTGCAGGGCATTAGCCGTAGCTTTAGGGCATTCATAAATTAATCTACTGTGTCTACATAATATAATCTACTGTGTTTTTACAATGTAATCTTAAAAACTCCTTACACATATAGAAACATTTTCAAATTGATCGACTAAAACAAAAACTTCATTAAATTGAGGCTGCCTATTTAATTGCGATACTAATATATTTTATTCATGCCTAGTTACACTATTTTTGTAGTTTTCGTTTTAATTTTGAAATTTATGCTTTCAAACTTCCACGTGCATTTACCTTCGCCTTGTTTCTAAGGTCATTCCATTTTTACTTCGATTTTGTTTTGCGTAAGACACGTTTTATCAATATCGGTTCGATACCGCACGGTTATATTCTCTCCTACTTTTTTAAGTAAAACTTTTTTAAGAACGACTCAGAAAAATGGGTTTAAGACACATATACTGAATCGTCATTAGCTAAGGACGTCGTCATGTAAAATGAGTTGATGTGATTGGTCGAAATCGTCTGGTCAAAAACATGATGAACTAAATTTCACAAAGAATAATTCTCTTTTTCAACCAACTACGAGATCTGGCACTATCAATGATACAGCTAGAAATTTAGACAATTTGCTGACTGAATTCATATCTATTGCTTCAGTTATCTCAAACCATGATTGGTTTCATATCATATTTGAAGTATGATAGTAATTAATTTGAGGTATTAAATAATTATAAAGTGGTTGGAATTTATGTATTACTAGTGTCACTAGTGTTTTAAATTCTTATATGATAAATTTATTTTAAACTATTGAACCGTATAGCAAAAATTTTTAGTTCGAGCGTCGCCCATGGACGACATGCGCTTGACGACTTCTATATTCATCACTCTCAGTTAAATTATTGAAACTTCTAATTTGTTACTGCGGTTTTCAGTTTTTTAGAAGTGTTTCTTTGATAATGATTGGAAAAGCTTAACATGTTTTAAGTGACAAGTACTTGAGCTGTTTTCTGACTCATACAATAGCAAGGCTCCTGCGGATAACATTTTGAAAACTGTTAAAAAAGGATTTTGAACCTTTCTTCTATTCACTTTTTTCTAGTCTCTAATCTGTACAGGAACAATATTCAAATGTAGCATTTCAATTCAAAATATTTTAAATGTTAAACTCATCCCTATAGAAATATATTTCTTTTAACTGCAGCTGCAATTACTCAACATAGAAATTGAACCAGTCGAAATTGATTGACTAGTTCGTTGTGTAATAAATTCGTCTGGCTGTCTGTACGTTTACGATCCCAGTGCGT